GCCAGGGTGTCGGCACCATTGGCATGGCTGTGTACCCCTTTCCACACTACCACAACTCTTTGAATAAAAACGCGCCTCCCCTTTTCATCAGCTTCTGTGTAGTTGAGACACAACTTAGACACAAAGAGTACATTTTGTGGGTGTGAGATTTGTTTGCTTTATTCCATTTGTTGTTTTTTTTTAATATTCGCCATCAGTTGGTTTTGATTGCACGGTGCTGGTATTGGGGTCTTAAAAACCTTCTGGATGATCAGGAATAATTGTTTCAGTGCATATTTATGTTGATTATCACTGATATAATTTCAGTTCGATATGTGTTTATTACGGTCAGATCAGTAGGTAAATGCAGATTTTAGCATTTAATATTTGAGGGAGTGGTTTCTCTGCAACTTTCTTTCAATGAATGCAGTGCAGTGTTCAATTGCCAATACATGCCAGTCTATTTCCAGGAAGTAATCAATGCACTCATGGTATAAAATGGGAAAAAGGATTTGTGTTGATCTGTTAATATACCTCTGCTTCAGTGTTTAAGGTGCTGTGCGGATGAAACACCCACAAATGCCTTTATTTTCTAAAATCCTCCTGAAATAATGTTTGTACAGTAGCCTTCCTTTTCCAACAATTGTTAATATATTCTGCAGGGTTTTGCTAGTTAAACTGAGAAGTAATTCTGTATCTCACAAGTGTCTGCGACAGATACAGCCTGTTCTTTAAATGGGAAAAAATAATTGGATATCCAGGATTTCCTTGGGCAGGTCTCCAGTTTTTTTAACCTGACCTCTGATCTCTAGGGTTGATTGAACTTGTTGAGTATCCAGCATCATTCCTCACAAAGGCCCAGAGAGCAAACAGACCAGTTCAGAGCTATTTACTCCAAAAACATCCCCATTTAAATCTTACTTTCTTGCACATACCGTGGGATTCGACGCACTGCAAGTGCACAGAGATTCATATGATACAGACTAATGTGCCGTCTTCATGTGCTTCCCCCGATGCTGTTAGGGTTTCCAGAAAGCTTTTGTAATCCGGGCTCCCTCCACTTTTTGGAAGCTAAGATCTGGTGATGTGGGTAGCTTCTCAGCCCCGAGCTGCTCTAGCTGGGTCTCCACTTGCTCCCCGTTCTGGGCTAACTCCCTCTCTCTTCCTCACTCTCCCTCAGTCTCTCAGCTCTCAGCTCCCCGTCTGATAGAGTGCTCTGTGTCAGCAGTGAGGGTCAGCCTTCAGCAAATAGGCTTGATGTGAGTGGAAAATCTGAGGTGACATTTTAAAGGTCACATTTTGGAACACTGGTTGGTCCTCAAGCTGTTCTGTTCCTTCATCTGCTGTGCGCTTTGGGTTATCTGCAGCAGAAATGACTCCTCTTACCTTTTTTGCTCAGGAGAATATCTATATACTGTATGTAGGTGCTGCTTATGTGCAGTATTTGATTGGTCTTGGGCAATAAGATAATGATCTAAGAAGGCAGATGCACAGTCGTTACTCATGGAATGGTATGGAAGTATCTGATGTGCAGATTAATGGCAGTCACACACAAGCAGCCCAGCTGGGATTAGGAAAGATACAATAAAGAGGTTTGCATTGCAGTGACAGGCCTCCATAAAATAGCTCCTTCCTTATGACATGGCCAAGACAGAAAGGTACTGATAGGCTGATTACTAAGTTAGCGTGCTTTTCTGAAAAATAAATCCCAGCCTGAGCATTTATTCTCTCTCATGACAATGATGCCGGTACATTTCTCTCCTTAAAAAGAGTGTGTCTTGTGATGTTGTGACAAACGTCTTTGTGAATCAAATGGGGCTCCTGTCGAAGACCACATTTGATTGGAATAAGCAAAGGGGGGTTTTACTTCACAATAATTCTTAGTACCAGTAACTGTTGAATCTAACCGAGTCTGAAGCAATTTCATGCTACGCCCACCTGGAAGCCATGGAAATGACTGTCTAAATCCATGCATTTTGTCGTTGCGATACTCTTGAACAGCACAGCATCATTCCTGGTTTTTTTTTATTTGCGCTCTTATGGTTTCTGGTCTGTGGTGGGTGAATGTTGCTTTTCAAAGCCCTGTAAAACGCAGTGTGGTTTGGGAAAGAAAGCTGGGAGAAAATGACAGCAGGCAGTGTGGGAAGTGTCTGCACAGTAGGGACCCCTTTTTTTTTGCCTTCCGTGAGCCGGAGCGCCCGACACTTTTTTTTTGTCCCAGCCCACTCCCCCTGTGAACGACCTAAGGGGTACTCGAACAGTAGCAACCAAAGCTCTACCTTAATTCAGTAATTCAAGTAATTCCTCACTTCTCCTGATCTGCTGTGTGGTGGGCTGCTGGTGCAGAATGGCTGCTGCACTTCATCCAGGTGGGTCTGCACTTCAGTGCTGGATAGATCCTCTCCTACAGTATATGGAGTGTGAAAGGCACTTTGCAAATGCAATACATTATTATTATTATTATTATTATTATTATTATTATTATTATTATTGAGCCCTGGATCTGAGGAAGTTGGATTGGTCTTAGTGAGAGTGAGCTCATCTGTGGGGGTGAGCCTCTGACGGTCCAGTCTCTGACCACTTGGAAAAGGAAAAGGAACAGCGCATTTTCATTATGCATCCATCATCTCCAAACCCTGCAGACCAGGAATCTTGATCGGAAGGAAACAAATGTTGTTGTTTTTTACCTATGTTCATTTAAAACAATAGTGTGCTGTCTTTTCATTTGTTTCAGTTATTATGGTAGATTCTTATTTAAGATGCTTTATTTATTTAGACAATTGCAAAACGCATACAGCGAGCACAATGTTCTCTCCTACCCTTTGCTAGATGACATTAAAAAAATAAAAATGATCAAGAGTTGGAAAGCTGTAGAGTGTAAGATGCACCGTGTTGTTTAAACACTCTTGCTGGGGGGGGGGATTTATTTAGAAGATTACTAGCTTCCAGGTCCTATTTCCTTTCATTTATGGCATCTCTTAAAACAAGCATCCTCTGTGCATTAAATCCGGTCACATCTGCAGTAGCCAATTCTATCGTACTTTTCCGTCATGTCGGAGGTCTCAGGGGTCACAGTCGTGGCCTGCTGTCTGCAAGCCTCTGTGAAGGCACTTCCCCGGGTCCACACGCAAGTCCTGACCCTGCTCCTGCTCGGAGACATTTCCAGCGCGCTTTTGTTTTGGCCTGGTGGAAATACACAGCGAGTGTGACGAAACCGTTTGACGTAGCAGGAGAGCGGAGTCGTGTTTCATTTTCTACTGCCTGTTCGACGCAGGGGGTTCAGGAAAGGGGCTTGTTCTGCAGCCAGACGAAGGTGGGCCAGCCCTCACAGCTGTGTCTTCTCCTCACTGGTAACATGGTGCCGGGGGTGACGTCCCCTGGTTGTCTGATTAAAAAGCAGTGATGCAGAGAGTGGGGGCGGGGGGGGGGGTAATATTTTAAAAGGCATGTTAACTACAACTGCTCTTGTCAGACATAAGCGGTCTGTTCACTGGGTGAACAGCTACTAGCTGTGAAAGGAACCCTGTCAGTAAAGAAGCATAAGCAGAACTGTGTACTGTGAATGCCTTGAGGGGTCATTTCAGCCTCTTTAGATCAACTTGTAAACCCCGGAGGATCACATTGGTTTTGGCCTTACTTACTTAACATGACAAAACCCATAAGATTACTGTAGGACGGCTGAGCTCTCTCTGTGTGCCAAATGATGCCTCTTACGCTGCAAAGTGAGTGTGTGAAGCAGGGTTCTGACTTGGCTTGTCAGTTTCCTTCCCGAGCTTCTTTCTGACTGCTGGAAGGTTACACAGCTGAAATAAAGACATCTGTGTAGCAGGCTGCCCATGCAACCAGAGGAGTACTGACCAGGGTAGCACGGTGAGCCCTGCAGTCCACCTCTGGCCAGGGCCATTAGTCCAGCCGTGTCCAGGGGTTGGCCAAGCGGTTGGAGCCTGTCAGCTGGCACAGTCCACATCCCTACCATTCCCACAGTGATGTGTTGAAACCACATTGGCATAACAAATTGCCAGTTCAACATGTGGCTCAAATAAAAAGTACCACATTTCTCTAAAGGTTTTTGTTATTTATGCCCAAGCCTTCTGTCTTGCATCTTTTTATGAAAGCAGAAATTAGCAATGTGTACTGTATGCATATCATATCTGCGCATTTATATCTGTAATCAACATGTTGAAAATCTTCCCTTTGCCACTCAGGACAAAAGGTGGAGACTGTAAACGTGGCCACGAGCGCAGGGCACGTACCCTTCTAGCTCATACAAAAAGCGAAGTGGTTTTGGAAGGGTGTTGTTTCTTTGTTTCATTCTTTCCCTTGCAGCCCTCGATTTACGTAGCTCCTCGATGCTATTTTTAGCCAGGGAAGCATTGTGACGAGTTCACAAATGCGTTTATTTGGTAACACGGCAACGCAAATGTAATTCCAAAGGGGGTGTGGGGATTTGCTCGGTTTGCAATACGAGGTTTACTGACACAAGACTGCAACAAACAGAACAATCCTGTGGTGAGCTTGCAGGTACTGTAGCTGAACAAAACAGGGACCTTTATCCCTGAGCTGCCATTATGCCTCATAGATTCAAATTAAATTACCTTCCTGGCAAACAGGAGCCAAACAGCTGCAGTCTGGTAATAGCCAAATCACTGGAAAGGATTTTTTAAATATTTTTCCCTCACATGCTGTCTGGCTTCACTGTAGAGTTAAATCTAGCTGTGGTATGGATTTACTCGATTACACAGTCCAATGTGAGATTTTTATGGTTTTAGAGTTGATAAAATAATTTGAATAACAATCTTGGCATGTTCCTTTCCCGTAACGCTTTCCAAGCTGGTTTTAACGGCTAATGGCACACATTAACTGAAGCTACTGATTGCTAGGAGTCGGCAGTGTGGGCTGGGTAACTGGTCACGTCACACAGACGGCTCTGAGCCTTTTTACAGTGACATCACAATGCAGCCTGTTGCCTGTGGGTATGTTGACCCACGTTCTCACATAATGTAAGCAGTGCATCATCTGTTCCAGATCCTTTATGAATAAGGGCCAACAACCAGTGCTATTCCCTGGCACCAAGCCTCTGTATCATTACAGCCTGAGACATGGTAAATTTCTTCTTTTCAAAAGGCAAAGCTGTGCACATGGACTCCCCCAGCATCTGTCTTCATCATCCTCATTGAGGAAGAAAATTGCTTTACATTGGAAATTTTTCATTTCAAGTCCACTTTTCATTGAGCACATTTTTGCCTCCTTGTTGTACCACAAAGAAAATCATAGGAAAAGAACTACCTTTCAGTCTGATGGCTAAATTGGCCCTGCTGTTCAGCAGTGCTTTCCAAAACTCCGGTGAGTTTTCTTATATAAAAGAGCACTCTGTTATATATGCTATCAATATACTTTGTGTTCTCACAGTTCTTTTGTGCTTTAAATACAGGACTCTCTAGAGGAGCAAGGCTTTTTCTTCTGCTGCAGTTATTCTTACATAACACAAAAACACTTCCAGTCCTCCTACTGTTTAGGAAAATGATGTGCCGGTTAGCAAATAATTGCAGTAACTAAGGTGGCGTGACAGAGCAAACGTATTTGCTGAAATTGTTTAGTCAAGGGTGTGGGGCTATTCCAACATCAGCCCTCCCCTGCACTGTCAACAGCCTGTCACTGTGTGGTCTGGGAAAACCCCTCACACCAGGTGAACAGCCTTTTTCCCAAGATCATCAGCCTGATTCCCTCAAACCCACGTTCTGTCTCAGTCTTGCATGGGCGCCTGAAATGTTTCCATCGAATAGCCTTTGGTGCTCTGGACGCGCTTTACAGCAGTAGGGGGCATTTTCTAAAATTGCTTTGCCATGACATGACTGGAGATCTACAGCCTTTTGTCTGATAATACCGACACTGTAGCAGTTGGTGGTAATTTTCCCTGAAGAAAAATAATATGAGATATGTTACCTTGTTTCTGATGACATGGGATGATACAGAACATGGAAACACTGTGGAATGGACAGCACAGAATTATCCTTCTGTTCTATTTTGTGGTAAAAGATTTATGGTGAAGTTTCTTAACTAGCCTTTATTTTTAGAGTCAAGAACAGTAAGACTAGGGATTCTGTTTTATGCAGAGGTTAGCTTGCAACAATCTTTCTATTCTTTAACACAGACCCTCTGTAGTGCGGTACAATGGCATGTACAGTAGGGGTGTATGAGCAGTATTGCAATACAGCACGGTCTGTGAGAAGGACAGTAATGTTTGAAAAGGGCTGAAATGCACGCTAGTGTTTGTTGAGAATCCGCAGTGTAGCTACAGCACAGCTTCTGTTATTCCGGAGAGTGTTCTCCGCATTTGTTTTGGGATGTGGCAGAAGCTTTGTTTTAGCAAGACAATTGTCTAACCTGGGTGTAACTTGACAGGAACCATTGGAAATGAATTAATTTATTTTCCTCCTTGTAAATACTGTAGGCATGTGTCAGCAGGTGTTCATCATGAGTGCATGACAAATTTCATTGTAGGTTTATTCTCCGTAAATGTTTCCTCATTATTGCAGAATAAAATAAAAATACATTTCAGCTGTTTGGCATTTCTACAAAGAGTGCAACTAAGTCTACTGTTTCTTGGATCTGTTTTTTCATGGAAGTTTTATTTATTCTGTGTGGATTAATGCAGCGCTGGTGCCAAATTCAGCCTACACACTTCACTTTATTCTAGTAGGCAGCGATTGAGCAGAACGTGCCAAGGGGATCATGGTTTTATGTATTGATTAAATGTTTCCATAAATATGCATTTTTCTTCTTCTTCTATGCCTCTGACAAACACTGCTTGCTTCAGCTACACTAGAGCAGTGTGTGACCAATAATTACCCCAGATCTAGGAACATAACAAAATAGAACTGGATTTCTGAAGTTAAAAAAAAGGATAGAAATGTGCTAAATTATACTACTTTTTATCACTCCTTCAATTCTTCTCATGCTGTATGAGTGCACTGTTTTGGAAATAAACCACGCATGCAGTCTCAACCCCACTGATGCATAGCAAGCTGCCACACCTATTTTTGAAGACGGGAGCGACCAGTGACGTGAGGGTGAGGCTACAATGCATCATGGTCTAGCTTTAGCACGACAGCAGCTGGATTAACTCGTGCTTGATAGGGTGGGGCTGCTCTTCCTCTGCATTTAAAAGATGAAAATATGAAGGGAGGTGGAGGGTGTCCAAAAAAACTGATGCTTATGATTGGCTGGGCCTAAGTTTGGAAAGATTGTTCTATAAATTGTCCCTTTAGTCTGTCTATAATTTTTATTGATTAAATTACATCTCCATAGCCAGGTTTTCTGAAGCATTTCCTACGGAAAGCCCATTATGACGCTGAGCTGCCTGCTGTAAATGGCATTGAGATGAGGACGTTTTACAGTCCTAATGTTTTTGGGGGGTGCATCTGTGTGACCAGGGCTGCACTCCCATTCAGCCTCGATGCAGTGGGGGGCTGATCCCTTCGACCAGCCTCCTCTAGAAATCCTGAAAAAAGTTATTCCCCTCCTTCCTGAAAATGCAAGAGAGGAACTCCCAGGAATCCCACAAAAACAAGAGGTGTGTGTAGGTTGGATTTGGCACCGTTGAGGTTTTGCTGTTGATGTGGGTGGGTGAGGGGGGTATTTTATTTAGGTATTTTGGGAAAGCAACGGATGCATCCTAAGGGAAAGTGGTATGTAGATAGACCTTGCCCTACATGTGACTAGCGCATATTTGCTGATTCTGGAAGAATCCCATGGTATGGCAGATGCATGCTGAGATTCCCACATGCTTTTTAACACTTGTGTTGTCTTGTGTCTCATTTATAAATAACGGAAAGAATAGATACATTTACAGAGTCCCCGTGAAATCTTAGAATTATAAATGTCTACATTTATATGGAAAAGGTCGTCCTGTGAAATGTCTGAATTTATTTGGAAAAGGCTAAAGGGGAGGAGGAAGTGGTATTTGACGGATCAAGGCACTCGCCGGCCGTCCAGCCTGGTGGCAGTGCCGTCCCGGAGAGGATTAACGCCGGGGCAAGGCAGGGAATGCTGTCTTGAAGCGGCCGAGATGAAGGGGTTTAGCACTGCTGTTTTGCTGCTCACCGAGGTGCACAGTAATCCCTCCTCTCATAACAAGCTCTTTGTGCCATGTGCGCAGATGCTTGTACGCCTACATGTCTTGCATGGTTGAGTGCAGTAACAGAAGACACTTGGTTTCTGCAGCAGCTCAGCAAAGGTGCCGTGCTGTTGACCCTGTTCAGATAACTGGAGCTCCTCGAGCGGGCAGCTGAACAGGCACGTGTGTTGTGACGAGGAAACGCAAAAAAGGATCAAGTTCAAAACCGCTGTGTAGTACAGCGTGCTTGTGCATGCATATCGACTGGTGCACTGTGGGTATTTTCCGTGGTTCTGTCAAGTCTCTGAAGCATCGGTAATTCACAACCTCTCTTAGAGATGGAAAAAGACAAAAGATACGAGCACCTCTTGGTTCTTTATGGCGTTCAGAAATATCCAAGCTCCACTGACTGATATGACTGCATGCGCCCGCTCATCGGTGGAGCTGAAAAAGCAGCAGCCCCTCTTCACGTCGAAGCCAGCAGAAGAGGCTCTCTGCGGCACTCTCAGACATGAGTGCTCCCTTCTGATTTAAATTAATCCCTGTCTGAATCAGGGAGTCGGAACACTTTGGCAAATTTCTCTTTCCCCCTTATTTCATTACGAAACCTGAAATGATCTCATTTTAAAGGGACTTGATTCTCCTCCTGCCCGTGGTTTTGCATTGCTCAGTGGTGATAGTAAGAACAGGAGAGGCTGAGTGAGCACAGCTGTGACCAAACTCCCAACCTGCTACCTGGTAAAATGATCACAGGTGGAGGAAGTAGTGTAGTGGGTGGATAGATCTGCTGTTCTTTCTCCTCAACCATCACTCATTTCATACTTTGTTTCTTCCCGTTTCTTTCTAGGCATGCATTTTGTAATTGGTCTGTGTAACCTTTCTTGAGCAATAGCTGAAATTTTGCAAGTGTTTGAAAGAGGTGTAGCCTTTTTACAGTGATGTCTTGGTGCTTCTGTATCTCATTTGCTTTCTCATGTATTTGCTATATAAACACCTCTAAGTGGGCTAGTGTTAAGATGTTTCAAGAGCAGGTGAGGTTGGTATCACTATGTTCCCAAGTGGAGAGTTGCTGTCCTGTAGGCGCTAAACTTGCTTTGCATAATGTAGTGCTGTTACCCCCAATTGCCTCATCTTCTGACCTCTGGCCTTCACATTAGTGGTTCACCTGGTTGGTGGAGGACTGAAAGCTTCTGGCAGCATGCAGCTAGTAAAAATCAATTGCTGATTACTTTTCAAGAGCTATCAAATTGTGTGGACTGTTGCCATGTTGCCGAAGTGCAAGATTTCATGACATAAATGAACTGTAATTCCAAGTCTCAGGCCATCAGAGGTTTCTTCATCATATGGTTAAGCATATGATGATATGGTTGATTTGAGCAGTTTAGGTGATTTTTTTAATTAAATCTGAATATTCTTAGAGAATGTGTATTTATAATGTACTACAGTATTACAGTAATTTAGGCTGGAATACTGTGTCTAGTATTAATATACTTTCTACAGTAGTTTATTTAATTTTTGGATGGGCAAGTCAAACCTGTAATCCATCCATTTTCACTCCAGAGGTGTAGAATGTGAATGGACTTTGGGCAGTGAATTGTGCAGTGGTGTGTGTGATGTGAATTGTAAGATGCTACCAGCCATTGTAGAAAGTCTTTTTTGATTTTGACAAAGCTTTTCCTTCCTGCTGCTCAACCCTGTCATTACCTACTAGGTCAGTGATTAGTACACTGCAACATCTAAGACCATTGACCCTTGATGTCTTGAAGGCCCTGCCAGCAGAAAAGGTCTAGACTGGAGAATGGACCCTTCAGCCTTGTGCCAGACAGCCAGATGAGAATTTAGCGTGCCGCTAAAAAAAATTAAATCTCTGTCATATTCAAGGTGCACATTCCGCAAAGATGTCCTTCGTTTCAAAGAAAAAAAAATGCTTTTCAGGTTTTCTCCACACAAAAATAAAAAGTGTTTTTTTTCTTTGAATTACGTCTCGTCTTTCTATAACTAATATCTCGCTCATCATCCTTGCTGAATGTATAAAGCAGATAATTGTGCGTATGTAATAAAACAGTATATGCATACCACATATAAAACAGTCATTACAACAATAATATACTTATACACAGTAGCTGCAGAGAAATCGGTTGGGACTTTTAAATCCTATTGTGTGTAAATATTTTCCGTGAAAGGAAGCATTGCTACAATAAACTTATACGTACTCACGTGTCGTACCCATTTCTACTTATGTGACTTATACAGTATGGGTTGATCTGTAAGGCAGTTGATATTGTGATGCTATGTTGTACAGAAGACTAATAGATAGGGACACCTGTGCTTAGCAGACACTACATTCTGTCCATCAAAGTGCTTTATGGTCACATTGTTCTGTGTCAGGACCTCATACTTCAGGACATCTTAATGCACACTGGGACTGCTGTGTATTTACACCCTAGCAGCCTTGAGCCAGCTGCCAAATAGATCATAAATCTTGCATGTAACGACCTCATGAAAAAAGACAGTGACATTCGCTGTATGCGCGTCAGCAGAAAACTATTCAGCATTAACACTTCAGGAAATGTTGCTTAAAACAGTGTTTCATGGCTGGCCATGATTTCCATTAGATACATAAACAGTATCTGTCAAACTGCAGCACCATTTCTGTATAGGATCAGAGAGGGATATTGTGATGCTTGACCTTTGAAGTTGAAAAGTACTATATTAATCAAAACCTTGATGTGTCTGAAGGCAAGAGTTGCATGTTCACTGAAAGAATGATTTCTTTTCATTGTGGTTTTGTGATTTACTGATGATAATTACATATATTGCGAAACAAATTCTTCAAACTGCACCTATCTAGAAAAGGTGCAATACATTCATTGCAGCAGTTTAATACATTTTAACTCTTTGTGGCTTAGTGCACTTGGCACACTTTATTTTTAAGCCTGGTGTGGAATGGAGGATTAACTTTGATTCTGCTTCATAAAGTTCTTTAAAAGGAAGAATCGATGCTTTTAGAAGACCTGAGGAGATTCAGTAGACAAATATCTGTTAATCTTTACTGTCTAGAAACTGTCTGTGACTGATATATTATAAATTTGAATTTTTAATGGCCTGCCGCTCGGAGTATCTTTGTGCCATCTATAATTCATAGCCAAGGAGTGAAAAAGAAAATGAACTTTTCGGCCCACAGCTCCTTGGAGCAGAGATGAATATTCACAGGATTAATCTGCAGTCTCAAACATTGCAGGATCTTGTTTCTGCTGGGTTTGGAGGTCAAGTCAGGAAAAACAGTGCAGGAAAATTTCAGACTTTACAATTTTCCAACCATAGACGGTACTTAAGAGCTTTGAGGCTTTTAATATCCGAAACATGATGGAAAAACATGTTTTGTTCATCTCCTTAATGGCTCACTTAAACATTAATAGAAACACTGAAAATGGTTTGTGCTGGCTCAAGTCTGAGATGTGTCAGAGAAGGGGTCAGGTTTTATAAGGTTCAAGCTGTACATTTTTAGCATTTTATTACATCATTTTTAATTATTTTAATTTTGAATTATAGCCTAATTACTGTTACCTTTCCTTTTTTAGACTTTTATTCCCCATAGTGTGCTGTCCCAGTTTATTCTTTACGCCACTGTGAGCCTACTTCGCAAAATCTCCTAATCGTCACCTCGGCATACAGCAGAGCTGGACTCTGCAGTGTGCAATGAGATAAAAAATAACATATCTGCCAGCAATGTCTAATCTTCATAATGAGGTTAAAAGTTATTAATAGTGTAGAAAATGACATTATTTCTTCTTTGTGTTTTATGAACGAGGCAGGTACTGTACCACTGGGAGTGATAATATTTCAAATATTTTTTGCACATCCCTGCATACTATACGGAAAACATCTCAATGAGAAACACAGGCTTGTAATTGCACGCTTCCAGAATGCTACAGAATAAAGTTCCATTAGTGTGCCTGTGGACTTATAAAACTGCTAATGCCAAGTTGATATTTAGTCTTTGGTGCTGTAGAGATGTCACTAAATCACAGTAATTGACAAAGAGAAATATTAATCTCTTAATTTAAAAGTAAAACCCCTCTGGATTGTATCTATTGTCCAAAGTCCACCTCCATTTTCTAACCACTTCATCCAATACAGAGCCTAACCCAGCAAGCAACAGGCACAAGGCAGGATACACCCTGACCAGGACACACACACTGACAAAAAAACACACGCAAACTTACACTAAGGTCAATTAACACACCAGTATGTATTTGGACAGTGGGAGTTCAGTTATAAACATTACTTCATTTTACTTTTTGTAATACTCCATAATCCTTTGGAGTTGAGAGAGATGTACAGTCAGTGCTAAGAAAGAAAAATATTTTTTTCCATTGTTCTTACTTGCACAGGAAAGCAAAAATGTCTCTGCTCCTGAACATAATTGTGTAAGGTAAATAGTACAGGCATACAAGTCACAGAGTCTTAGTGGCTTTTCGGAGGAATGCTTTGTTTTGCTTTAATTGTGTCAGGACTGATCCGATTAGTGCATCTTTGAGCTTATAATCTTCCTCTCTTGTCAGGGAGGCCCTTTGGAAATGTTATGTAGATTGTGTTATACATTCTTGGTATTTAGGGGGGTTACTGTGCAGTCAGTACCAGTCCACATTTACGTGTTGCCCATTGGAAGACTTAAGGAGTGAAAAATGACCTCTCAGTATTATACAATTTTTTGAATCCGAAACGTATTTGAGTGTTTTCATTTTTTTTCCTGAAAGTGATATAGCCATAGCTCGTTAACCTTGTTCTGCATGTCTACAATTCTTTAATATTCTGTGTGTGCTCCTTATCTCTCCCTGTTTTTATTTCTTAAATTGTTTGCTATTAGAGTGCAGCAGGGAAGTATTTCAGTATCACCCAGGATGGACCCTGGGCTTTAGCAGTGCTCTTTCTCCTTTTGTGTCGCTAAGCTGATGTGCCTCCTCCTTTCACTTCCTTGTCAGTCGCCTTTGAAATGGATTTTGGGAGCAGCTGGAGTAAGTGGAAAACCAAACTGAAGAAATCACATAAAAAAAATAATAATCCATACACTTATAGCGCTTTCCTGGACACTCCATTCAAAGTGCTTTACAAGTAATAGGGACTCCCCCCCACCAGTACTCCCCACACACCATCTACCAGTGGAGAGAAAAACAAAAAAGTGATGAAGCCAGTTCAGAGATGGGGATTATTAGGAGGCCATGACTGGTAAAGGCCAGGGGGCAATTTGACCAGGATACCAGGGTAACACCCCTACTCTTTTCGACAAATGCCCTGGGATTTTTAATAACTTTAATACTGCGCCATTACCATACTGGCTCCCTACTGGTCCCACTAACACCACCTCCAGCAGCAACCTTAGCTTTCCCAGGAGGTCTCCCCTCCATTACCATGGCCAGGCTCACACCTACTGAGCTTCAGTGGGCTGCCAGCTGTGAGCTTCAGGTTGATATATCTTTCTTTCTATATATATGATTTCTATATATATGGTGATATATATAGAGCTAAAAAGAATCAGGCACAGCACACGTCATAAAGGATGGACCAATAAGAAAAGCATTGGTGTTGGAAAATATAACTTTTTTTATTCTTTTCTAAGCGATTGTTTTTAACAGCTGAATCGGTCTTTGTAAAGTGACATTTCAAAGATCACACAAGGGTATGTCTGTCTCACTGGGCAGCCTTTGCTCACTTTAACCAAGTCTCACCAGGTAACCAATTAGTGACGTGCAAAGAGAGAAGTTCTAGTCAGCAGAAAGTGATGGGGTCCAGGTACAGAGTAAATTACATTTTGCACGCCGTGTGAGTAAGTGTTCTCTTTCCCTGAATGCTGAAAGAATGCCAGACTGGAGGAATGCTCTAATAAGATGATGAAGGAGAAGATTAATTTATTTTATATAAGTGCCTTTAAAAGTAGCTTCTGACAGTACAAAGAAAAACTAATTAAATTACCACAGGCATCAGAACTGTTCCTTGAAAGATGGCCTGAGATCAAAGAGAAAAAAGTGATCCTTTTTTGATAGACTCAGATAGACTACTGGAGAGCACAAATTTTAGGAAGCATGCTTTGTGTAGAGCTCATGACGTTTGAGATGAACATTTTTTACTGTGCCTGTTAGATCTTTAACTGCCCCATCTGTCACATATTACAGCTCGGTGTCAGGGAGCAGAGCTGTGTACAAGCACATTTTAAATGACTGTGACCTCTCCCTCTTTCTAAATGTGTGTCAGTGTAACTGCGCTAGCAGAATACACTTTTGAAACTGTGGTTGAAAACGGAATGGAATCTGGATTGTACCCTCATGGTGCAAGCTCAATATCTTGAGTCTTTAAAAAAAATATTTGCTCGCTTTTTTAAATTTCTTTGCTGTCCCTTTGCTCACCTTGTGTATGAAGAACATGCTTTTCTCTGTAGAGCGCTGCTCTCCCTGCCCTTGCTGTCCTTCCCAAAATGTAGATTTGCTCTTGCCTGCAGTTTTCCCATACCTTGAGGGTGGGAGAAACTCTGGACTCCTGAGCGCAGGACTCCTCGGTATTATAATGACCGAGGATAATCCGTATTAGACTAAGGGCGCTCACCATGTGATTCAGCTAATGATTTGGAAAGTGCCTTTTCGTTCTTCATCACCTCAGCAGCAGCAGTTGCGCTCCCAGGTTTTCCTCATCAGGAAAGAGCTAACCTCTTGCATGAGTGTGGAGTTCAAATGCACGGTTAGAAACCAAGGCTTCCAGCACTTGAGGTTTGGGGACACTTCTCGTATTCGGCCTGGTTGGACCCCCCGGGGGACAGTTGTTTGATGGACCGATAGTCTTGGAAAAGTAAGGAGTGTTTATCTTTAAATGCAAAGATAGATTTTCTCTGTCTGTTGCTGATGATCAGAAATAAAAGGAGGGTGCAGTAGACAACATGTTGTCATTACAAAAATGAAATCGGCTTGCTGGGTCCCAGGGCTTGTTTCAGTGAAAAGGAAGGGTGTCTTGGTAGGAATCGCAGTAAAACTGAATTACGTCATAAGAATGCTGGAAGAATTTAGTCTGTATAAAATTTAAAGGTGGGGCAGGTTTAGTACAGGGACTCAGTTTCATCTTCAGAAAAGGTCTGTTTGTGTTGATACTGTCATTATTCTCATGTTGTTGTAACATGGCTTCTGGAATTCTACCAGAGCTCTAAATATCGTCTTTTTCCCTCCTTCCACCAGGTTTCCTCAATGAGCATCTCACCAGCGGTTTGATAGAACATTTCTAGAGCCGACCGGATTTCTTCACACCGCACAGCAAGGCTTCCGTGCTCAACATGCTGATAAAAGAATACCGTATCCCTCTGCCCATGAGTGTGGAGGAGTACCGCATTGCACAGCTCTACATGATACAGGTAAGCAAGGCTGGCTCCTGTTGTGGTCTGTTGTGCTGCTTGATCGTGGCTCAGCTTGGGATAGCGTCTTACAGGTCAGTACGGAAGGCAGGGGAGGGGATGGCTATTATTTCAGAAGACTAATCAGTGTGAGTGAAGCTGGTGTGACCCACATTTCTTTTTTTCACAAAAGCTGATCTATTTCAAATTGTAACTTGAGTCTTTCTGAAAAACCACCAAACTAATGATTACATGTAAATGCAGGCTTTTGTTCCTCGGCTTGCATTTAAACAAAGGCTAAAACCTGGTCAGTAATGCTCTGATCAATACGGTGGATTAGGCTACGAAAACAGACTTTAGTTGCGGATAAATGCCTTTGGGATTTGCCTCTCCCTAACTTAGCAGGATAGGAAAAGATTTAGGCCTGGGAGCGCTAGTGACCACAGGATGTACACCTGAGCTAGAGAAATATGTAAAGCATAAGACTACGCATGCTGTGTCATTTGCATTGTGCATAGGTGGTTGAGTTGATATTGAGCATTGCTGGGTTGCAATCCCATTTTTATTCCAGTTGTTCTAATTTAGCACACAGCTGCAGTGAGGTGTGGTATTTAGAATAAAGCTCACCTAAATAATGCAAGCCAGAGGCTCAGATTTATACAGATTAGTTCTAACAGCATTGCCCAGTAATAAAGCTTATTTCTGACTACATGACGAAAACCACTGAGTAATCTGCAGAGATTATGGTGATTAAATTACTGCTGAATGTTATTGCTTGTTGTTTTTCTGGAACAAAGCCAGTCTTTTAGATTTTTTAATCAGATTTCTTGAATTGCAGCGCTGGGGGAGGGCAATTGAAGCTTGCATCAGCAGAAGAGCTGCACTGGAAGCTAACAGTGTGTTTTGTCAGGTTTTCATGACATCAGACTAACTAGCGTTCCAAAGAAAACACACTCCCGTGGAGTGCCTTCTCCTGAGTGTTTTATTTTAAGGGAATGAGCTCCCTTTTTTTTCCACTGCTTCTTAAATTGTTGTCAGTCCCCTGAGGCCACCAGGAGATGCGGCCGTGCCTTGTGCTAATTTGCTGTGATGATATTATCTTAAACTTGTCTGGAGCTTCAGACAACGTTGGCTAATGGTCTATAGGTGCTGTTTGTGAAAGAAATCAAGACACTGAAGACAAACAAAGCCGTTTGCAAAGAAAGGATTTTTCCCTGGAAGACTAAAAGCACTTGGGAAACGATGGTGGAGAATATGTAATTGATTTCTTCTCCAGTTTACATTTAGATTCTGTCTAGGACTTGTCGGAGCGCAGTTACAGAGATTGATGATCTAGGATGCATATTTGAAACTCTAGGAGACAGCACCTGTCTAGTTAAACCTTGTAGGAGGCCTATATGTAATCCTGATGCACAAAACCTTTTATTTCCAGTTATTTGCAGTACTGTGTTTCTTCAGTGCCTTGCTGTGGATGTCTTGTCATGGCCAAGTTGCATATAAAGTGCCACAGGTGCTGCACTGTGCATTTCTGATGAAGGAACAGTGAAGATGCTGCAGACGTGAGAGAGAGAGTGGAATACAGGAGACTGCATAATGGCTGTTTTTCATCCAGCACTGAGTAGCATGTAGCAGATATACAGTAGGAAGCAGTTCCTTACAGTGAAAGCAAACCTGGTTACGTTCTTACTAGCTAGTAGCCATAACTTATTAGTTACATATGTGGCCTGTGCTCCCACTTTTACATGCCAAGCTGCACTCTTCAGGAGCCTGTACCTTATCAGTGGGCATACTGTATCAGAATTGTGTCAGACAGTGACTTTGCTTCTGCGGTGTGCGGTAGTGCAGTACGTGGATCAATTAATGATGGGAGGCATTATTTTAAGGAAGTGGCCTTGCAGGTCACTTGAGGTGAAATGCACTAAGCTAACCAGCCCCTTTTAGATTGTTAAGATCTGTGTTCATCGCTGAGTTTGAGTCATGTTCTCTTGAGGGGACCACGACAAGAAGGAGACGACAGCAGGGCCTGTAGGATTTGGCTTTTAATATGGAACAAAATAACAGGTGCAACTAACAAATGTGATAATCACCTGTGTACAGCAATCCTATCTTGGAACTAGGCAGCCCTCAAGTCAGTGTTCTCATTGGCTACACGGGGAGGTGGGAAAGTAGCTGCTAAGCATGGTTTCAATGTGAAAAATCCCATCAGTGTGAATAAAAAAGGACACAGCATTTCTAGCTTTCTTTTGTGAGAAGAAGCACCGATGGCTAAATATTTAATAGCAGTGAAACCATTGGTGCAAACTCCTCTCCAGAAGAATGGACCCCCTAAGGTGTTTTTGCTGTGGAGAGCCCTCTACCGTCCTCAGGGTTAGACAGTTTTTGGAGGAACAGAGACCTTCCTTTTCAGTGTCATGCGTGAAGGATGTACATTGCAGCCGAAAGGGCACTGCAGACCTGCACTCTGGGCTCCATGGTTACTGGTGACATCATCAAGTGTTGCATTCACAGTAATGATTTGTTTGCGGAGTGGAGAAGGGTGGAGGTTGGTGGGGGGGGTGGTTGCTGAGAGAAGATAGCCTCTGCTGAAGCCTCTAGGTTGCTGATGCAGCCGGTGTCTCCATGGCAACCGGTGCTGCTGTTCAGAAATGTCCATCTATAGCATGAGGCTGCAGGCGGGCTGGGTTAACATGCTTCCTTTGCTCTGGAATCCTCAGGAGAAGGAGGCCCCAGATTCCAAGGGTCAGCACCAAAATCCCGTTTTCAGTATCAAAAAGAGGATTTCAATGTGCTGTGCCGAATCATTCATCTACCAAGCGTTACCAAGAGAGACCAATGCCTTAATCAGAAATTTTTGTCCCAGCCTTGTGTGTTGTGATTTTCCGGCCAGGGCTTGTTGTGTTTTTTTACCCCTTCGTTTTTAATGACTGCAGTTCCAACTCCATATATGGATTTTTCTCTCCTTAATGATTTGATTTTCTGTGAAAAGATGTGAAGCGAGGGAATAGAGGGTGCTCAGGTCAGCAGCTTGTGAGCAGGAGCTCAGAAATGATGCCAGAAGATTGTGTCAAATAGGTCTGTCCTCACTGTGAGCTGAACAGGTCTTGAACTGCAGTGTCTGGTCTGTGTGATCCCTGTAGCCTGTTTGCCATTCATGCCTCTCAATCATTAGGATGTTTTATTGCATCACATTCTTCATCTCACAGCGTTTGCTAATCAATAATAGTGAATTTAAATGAGGTTATGACTTGTGAATTCAAGTATGCTAACTGATCTAAGCTCATTAAAGTTAGCATCTAAGTGTATTTATTTCATTACAGTGTAATGTACAGTATGTGTATAAGTGATAAGTGTCTTAGGCTGACTATGATTGAATTTGCACTGACCAACAGGAAGGTCACAAGGTTTTGCCACTTCTGTTTCTATTAGTATTTTACATGCTTTCTTTTAACTTATTGTATATACAATATGGCATTGTATACATTGGTGTGTACTGTAGTGTGAACCTTAATAAAATCATTGATTGCATTTAATGTTTTGTAAATTATCTAGCAAAAACTAACTTAAAACATGTTTTTCAAGAAGGTCTTACTCTTGACCTTACAGCAGGTTTTAATTAAAAAACTTTTAACACCACAAGCATGAAAATGCAGAACGTAGAAGTAGGATGTAAACACAAGAATAAATCTGTACTGGCTTTTTTGAAGTTTTCCAAAATTGAGGAAGAGGATAGGATGAAGAGACCGCTACCTGACATTTCTCAGGGAAGAAGAGGAGGATGAGGAGGAAGAAAGATCCACTTTTTTGGATTCCATTCAGCGGAGAGATTTGAAATGATCCAGTTAGATTGTGACTGACTGGAGAGGGTGTCATTTGTCACTGGGCTAATGAAATGATTTTTGCAGGCGCTGTCGGGCTTGTGTGAAGCCAGCGCCCCTGTGAACACAGCCCCTGGTCTGGCTAGCCTCTGGTGCTTCCAGGCGGCTCTGTGGGTGCTGAAAGCAGACTGCTGGTAATGAATTACATGTCAGATGTAATGAAGGCGTGGAGCAGCTCACTGCTTACAGGGCTGATGGAGGCAGGGTCCAAGGCCACAGCTGACCTCTGCTGTTTGCCGAAGGTATTCCTCCACAACCAGGCTAGGCAGGGCGTCCCTGAAGCACAGCCGTTCCGAAGGCTGTGCAGGTGCTTCTGCTGGCAGTGTGGATGCAACCTGATGAGTAAGCAAGGTGTCAGAAACTCTCCGCCAGTCTACAGGCTCTCTCCTGAGCAGGGCTCGATTTTGGTGCTCGTAGGCCCTAAGCACTTTCACTCTGAAATGTGCAAAAAGAGGGGTAGAGGCCAGTTGAATCACGTTGATTAACATGATGCACTTTAAACTATTCTCATGCTAAACCACATGGTTGATGGAGCGAGTCGAGCGACCTCTAGTTTCCAGAACAGCCGCTAGATAGAGTATGATTATTGATTTGGAGCACCTAGAGTCGATCGCAAGCATGTTGTTTCAGCTCGTTTTTCATTAGTCACTAGTGTTTCCCTCCACTAGGAGTTAGTCACTAGGCACTGTGCTGCTGAAGCCTCTGTAAACCACTTGCCACCCCAGTATCAGGACACTCTGGTGCTGCTGCTGCGGAGCTGCGTCATCACTTTTTGCAAAGTGTATCTGTGGAATTCTTGAACTGTTCTGATGTGCACGATCCTGGTTAGCCAAACCAGGCCGACTTTAACAAGAATTGCAGTTAAAACCTGGAACACCCGATGGGTAGTCGTAACGGGCGGAATGCTTTTGTTAGCATTCTGAGTGCCGGATTAAATTAACCAATGGTTTTTACAAAGTAGTAGACTGGATAAAAACTAAAGATACAGTAGGTGGTGAAGGGGCAGAGCCATGGGTTGAAATTCAAACCATTTTCACCATAAGAACAGTTTAATTCGGCATGGCTGGGCTGTGTGAGAAATTCCCGCTTGCGAAACTGATTAAATGTTTTGTGAATACTAAAACTCACTTGGTCTAAGTAACTTTG